AATATTGAAAAAATAGCTCTATTTCAGTGTGGAGCTGGTAGAGAGCTTCAATTTAAAAAAAAATTGCATGCTATTTGATTATTTAGTTATGTCAATAAATGTATATTTATTTTGATAAAATTTATATTGATTTTGATAATCATATGTGCCTCGATTTATAATTTAGTGATATACAAATTCTGAAATTATGACTTTGTTTAAATTTAGATTATTTTTTTCCCACTCGCTTATCAAACAACTTGTAATAATATGCATAACTGAATTTACCCTTAGAAAATCTGCAATTAGTGAAGATCATTAATGATCCTACCTATGTTTGATTTTAATAGGCTATTACACACCCTATCGATGCTTCTCTGCAATTTTTACAAAATTCAAAAAAAGGTCTATTTAATAAAATTTAGAGACTTAAAACAAAACGAAAAGTCCAATTCTGACTGTACATTTTTCACTCATACATAATGATAATGATATTTTTAAATTTACGATTTCTGGTTTTTATTTTATATTACCTGATATTGTATAACCTGAAACCTACATTTTTTTTTCAGAGTTGTTAGCTTATTTAGTAGAATTAATTAATTTGTAACTGTAGGTTACAAATTAATTTTATAACTATAGGTTATAAATTAATTTTATAACCGTAGGTTATAAATTAATTTTATAACCATAAATAAATTTGAGTATAAATTAATTAATTTGTAACCATAGGTTACAAATTAATTTTATAACTATAGGTTATAAATTAATTTTATAAACATAGGTTATAAATTAATTTTATAACTATAAATAAATTTGAGTATAAGTTATGATAATATAATGTAATGATGTAATCGAATACACATATATATAGGAAAAAAATAAATTCATCTTGTCTCTTTTTGCCATACAAACAACAGTGTATAGAGTAAAATCAATACTCATTTTGTCTAAGAAGTTCGTATTGAAAGTTCAAAGAAATTATACAAAATCATAACAGTATTTGTTGCTCATAACATGTGATATATTTAGTTTTATTTGCATTTGTCAAGTCTTCCACGAAGTAAGCTACAGTAAAAAAACTATACAAGTTCATAATAAAAGTCTAAAGAAATTTAATGTTAGATTTTAGTAATACCTTAACCTGTTATATATTAGCTTAACTATATTCATAAGTTGTTCGCAAAGAAAACTATAAACAAATGATTTAAAAGTCTAAATTAGGTATATTTGTATAAAGAATGTGCTATATTAAAAGGTTAAACTATTGCTAAATACTACTTATCATATTACTATAAGCTTTTAACAATAGCTACAAAGTTTACAACCTATGTTGAGCGATGAGATATTATCAGCTTCCAGTTCATATATGTTTGGTGATGAAATATTACCAGCTTTCAGTTCATATACATTAGATGATGAGATATTATTAACTTCTAGTTTATATACATTGGGTGATGAAATATTATTGGCTTCTGGTTCACATATATTGAATGATGAGATATTATTAACTTCAAGTTCACATATGTTGAGTGATAAAACATTATCAGATCCTGGTTCACAAGTTTTTTCTATAAGCCCTATACAGCAAGAATATATTTTATGTGAACCTAGCATATTAGTTATTAATGATGAAGAAAATGCATTTATTAATTATGATATATCTAATATGAACAAATATCAAAATGTCGAATTTAATAATCAAGAAAAACTTGAGATTGTTCCTGGGTCAGTATTTCTAGATTGAGAGCAGCTTGATCATCATATTAGAAATTACACAAAGCAAAACAGCTTTGTATCAATTATTGTTAGATCTGAGTTTGATGATACTATTCATAGAAAGTATCGATATGCCTGTAAACACTAAGGCATAGGTCGTTCAAAAAAGACAGCTATAATAGAAAATTAAAAACAATCTCAAACAAAGCAGTTGGGATGTAAATGGTTAGTCAATGCAACCTGTTCAAAAACTACAGAAGAAATTAAAATTACTTTTTGTTACCTTGAGCACAATTATAAAATTCATCCTGACACTATTGTATTTGCCTCCTATTATCGACAATTTCCTGACGAAGTAAAATAAGAGATTAAATATTATACTTTGAAAGGGTTAAATATGCGAATGCAGCTTTCCTTACTTGAAGACAAATATCCTAATATTCTTTTTTTGCCACATGATTTGTCAAATACAATACAGTCATTTAAGCAACACAATAAGGTTATTAATGAAGTCTCTATCCTTCTAGAAACACTTCTTAATAATAAAGCACAGGACCCAAATTGGGTTGTTTATTGGAAATTAGAACCTGTCTCTAATTCTTTAGAATTACTTTTCTGAATAGAACCTAGCCAAGTTGAAATATGGATTCGCTATCATGATATCATTTTGAATGACAACACATACAGTACAAATTGTTTCAATATGGCACTCAGTCTTTTTGTAGGTATAGACAATCACAACTGAAGTCACCTTGTTGCTCAAGCATTAATGAATGATGAAACTACTACTAGTTTTGAATGAATTCTTTCTAAGCTTTTGGAGTCTACTAGCTATCAACTACATGTTCTTATTACTAATTCTGATATTGCAAATGAAGCTACTATTGAAAACATTATGCCTAAAACCTATCGAATGAAATGCTTATATCATATTGGTCAAAATCTTATAAAAAATCTAAAAAGTAAACTCAGATCAAATTGGAATGAGTTTATAAAAAACTAGTACAAGATGCGCAATAGTTTGTCAAAACAAGATTTTGAATATGAATGGAGGTTGCTTATTGATAAATATCCAACAGCAAAATATTATCTTAAATGACTTTATGGTACCAAAGAACAATAGGCGTTAGCTTGGATTTCTAATAGATTTACTGCTGGAGTTCAATCTACACAACGAATAGAATGCATTAATGCAATTGTCAAATCTAATATAACAAGTAAAACTAGTTTATCTAAACTTGCTAGTGTTTTAGACTCTCAACTTGCTTGGGAATCGATGTACATTCGTTATATTAATTGGTCTCAAGCTTATGCTAAACCTACTCAT